GTGACTGTAACAACATAGTAAATGGACTTTAGGGCTTGATGAAACTTAGTAAAACAACTTAGGCCAGGTTGGATGGGGCCCTGAGGAACCTGATCTAGTGGGTGGCATCCCTGCCCATGGCACGGGGTTGGAACTGGGTGGTCTTTGAGGTTGCTTTCAACCCAAACCATTCTGTGATTCTATAAAATAGACCTTCCTTCCAGCTCATTTTTCTGCTTTGTTTACATCTGCAATAAATTCTTAGGGTTGAGAAATGCCCACTGAGTTCATCATGCAGAAGCAGAGCCTGGTAGTTCTCGAGAATGAGGTTTGGGGATGTCTGTGGGCAGTAAAGGACAGTAATCTAATGCAGCAAAAGTTTACAGCCTTTAAATAAGTGTTTGTTTATACAACTGTTGAACACATCAGCCCGGATCATCCATTTCTGGAAATATCCTTAGCTCTGAGGTGAGACCTCACAGCTGTCTACAGCTTCCTCATGAGGGGAAGAGGAGGGGCAGGCACTGATCTCTTCTTTCTGGTGACCAGTGACAGGACTCAAGGGAATGGCATGAAGATGTCTCAGGGTAGTTTAGGTTGGATATTAGGAAGAGATTCTTCACAGAGAAGATGATTGGACACCGGAACAGGCCTCTCTGGGCAGTGGGCACAGCCCCAAGCCTGACAGAGCTCAAGAAGCATTTGGACGATGCTCCCGAGCACATGGTGTGATTCTTGGGGTTGTCCTGTGCAGGGACAGGAGCTGGACTTGGATGATCCTTGTGGGTCCTTTCCAACTCAGAATATTCTATGATTCTCTGATTCTGCTCTAGGACCATCCTGTCTGTGTAGGAGACATCCAGAAATGGTGGGTTACTACTGAAGTGTGGACTTCTCTGCATCATCTTTGGAGATGCCCCTCTCCACAGACCACAGAGGACCTCCACTGTCTTTGCTCTAAATTTAAGCACCTTGATTAGGTGGAGAGAGGGGAGTAGGATCCTCAGGGACTAAGTACCCATTGCTACTCCATGGCTGTCCCTGTGGCCAATGCATGGAGTTATATTTACATGTATTTATAGTTTGCTGGGGCCTATCAGTTCCCACCGACATCAGTTCCCACAGGCACAAGTCCTTCCTAAAATCCTTCTGATGGACAGGAAAGAAATGTCTTGTGGTGTGAACAATTTCCTTATGCATGTGTGATGCACCTTTATGTATTTATGTCTGCAACAACAATGGAGTAAATGTAAATGCAGCTATTCAAACTACATCTGCTTAAGCCACAGATCTTGCAGCTCAGTGCTTTGCTCCACATACTATAATTTTTACCTTTTTTGGATAACAAAACTGCAGTGAACATTACAGCAGCTGTTAAAGACACAAGTTGAATCATGCTGAGCTACCTGGCTTAACTCCGGTCAAACCTACTTGACCACTGAGCTCTTAAATGCAAAAAACCTACCCCATTGCTGTGCCCTGTGCCAGAGGGGATGTTGGATTTAATGATGTTTAAACCAGTACTGTAAAGGAACCTTTGATTGTACCCAAAAAACTTATTATTGCTCTCCCATTCGGGATCAGATGAAAGTAAAATAAGCTGTATCTTGTATTATAAGTGGAAATGCCATTTCCTGCTGGAACTAGAAAACAAAGCTCTTTGGGATTATTGTAAGGATCAGCAGGCACAGTGAGGCAGGGAGAAGTCTTTCCCTTGTTGGTCTTTGCTGTTGCATTTGGGGTCTGATTATCTTTTGCTGACTTGGCCATTCATCAAGTGTCTCAAAGAAGCAGCACAAACAGTAGTTGAGCTCCTTCCCTCTGTCCCTGCGGGGAAGGGAAGCAGCCATCGCTGCCTCTGCCTCTTTGCAGTGCTCCCCCTCAAACTGGATAAATAAATTAGAGATATGGTCATTCAGGGAACCAACTGGGAGCAGCTGGGGATTATGGATTCAGTGATTATGGATTCAGTGATTATGGATTCAGTGATTATGGATTCAGTGGACTGTGCTCCTCTGGTACAGAAAACAGCCACCACAGGCACTTCTTGGGCAGCATTGTGGCTTCTCCTGTATTATTTAGTGCATTGTCTCTGCAATCTCTGTGCATGCAGAAATGCTCAGCAAGAGTTGTTTCTCCTCCTAAGAGATGCCCTTTCAGTTTTTACTCTTAGAGTGCTTGTTTTCAGGCAGGTGAATCTTTTACAACGTTTATATTTTAGGTACTTGGTGACTCCACAGACTGAGTATTAACTTCCTGTTGTGTGGAGAACTCTTTTGAGAGGCAAATTTTATTCATCAAAGACAACCCTTTAATTAACTTTCACACTTCCATAGGGAGAGGAATATAAAGACAGATAATAATACTAATAATACTAATAATAACAACAATAACAACATATCTTGTTACCATTACAAATGAAAATAAAATGCTGCAGGGAGTGGAGTTTCAAGGTTTGTTTTGGTTTGGTTTTGTTTTGTTTTTTAATGAACATTTTAATAGCATTTAATGTAAATTGAATATAATCATTGTCTCATTCCTGAGCTTATCTCTGAGGCTGAAGATTAAGAAGTTAATTGTGCTGACAACATAGTGGGAAGTGCCAAAATCAAGCACCAGCTTGTTGGTTAAAGTGCCTTTTGAATTAAGAGAGGAAGGCAGAACCTTTATTTTTTTGTACCCCTGCTCCCAGTTATTTTGCAGCTGAGTAAAGTTTGTGCACAGTGTGGATTTATTACATGAGAGCTAACATAAAATTTCCATTAGAGTGCAAATTAATAAGAGTTTATTTAACTTTAGAGATTGGGAAGGATCAGATGCATGAGCCTAACAAGCCATTTTACTTTGGGGATGGGGAATTACTGGTGTATAAATCCCTCAGTTCTTTTTGGGAAGATAATTTAACGAGGTCATCAAAATGACTGGATGTCAGCTCCAGAATCTTGCCTTCCATTAAGAGGAATTAGGTATGGAAATCTCACTTTTGAATCATCTGCTGGTTATGGAATTCATGCACTTGGTAGCAAGATTTACTTGATGAAAAGATTGGGGATCAGGCTGTGCACTCCTTAATGTAAGCAATGTGACAGGATTCAGTTCTCAGCTCCCTCTCCTGCAGTGACAGTGTGGAATACCTGTCTGTGCTAGATATGACCTCTTCCATCTCAAATTAAAAGTGATGTAGTTGCTCATCTGGTGCAGTGAGCCCTGGGATCATAAATAAATGAAATGCATTTTGACGAATGAGCACAGAAATGGTATCTTAATTTGACTAAGCAGAGATAATAACTATTCATTGGGTCCAGTTGTGTCTTCATATGGGATTATTTCTCTTTCCTGTATGGTCTCAAAGGAGTCCAGTTTTATTTACTGTGAGGGTGGTGATGCCTCGGAACAGGTTGCCCAGAGAAGCTGTGGATGCTCCATCCCTGGAAGTGTTTAAGGCCAGGTTGGATGGGG